GTAACTTAACCCCCCCGCTACATAACCTCGCTCGCCGCTAAGCTTAGTACTAAGCTGCGAGATCAAAATACTTGAAACCACGAACCGCGCCGCCTCGTAATCATTATGACGTCACGTGCGGACAAAGAGACCAGCGTGAGCGGCGTGCGCGGCGAGCAGTTATACGTGCGAGTGCAGGCGGTCAGAAGAGAGATGGACGAGTGATGTGAGATGACTGGGACGTGAGCGGTACGATGGAACAGCTCTGAGTGAGCGAGAATCGGAACAGCGAGCTGGAGGCGGCAGGCGGTGTATGTCGGGTGATCGCCCAGAGTGGCGGCCATGTGCGGAGGGCGTGAGCGCCGAGGGCCGCCACAAAGTGGGGTCGGTGGGCAAGTCGAGTGGGTGGGAAAAGAGACCAGGAGCCGGTGACCTCTCAAACGTGGGCGGCGAGCAGTAAAGTGAGCAAGGCGCGCGAGAGAGGACGAGAGTCGGTGACGTGGACTAGTGGCGGTACGATGGAGCTAGTGAGGGACGGTGAACAACGAGACTGGCAGCACGCAGCCGCGCGGGTGTCGGAAGTCGATGCGAGGAGACGGGCGCGATTTGATCGCATCGGGTCGGCTAGCGGGAGTGTGAGCGCGAGAGCTAGACCCGCACAAGAGAAGATCGGTGAGCACAAATGATGTGGCGTTATGGAAAAGAAAGACCAGCAGGGGGTGGTGGTGGCAAGCAGTGAAGCAGGCGGGCGAGGAGAGTGGCGAGAGATGTTGGGAACTGTGACAGTGGAGCGTACGATGGACGCTACAGTGAGGAGGTGTGAACAAGCCGAGCTGGGTAGGCGAGCAGCGCGGCGGATAGTTCGGGAGTCGCAAAAGTCGCGGCTATGGGAAGGTGTGAAGGCGGCGGAGGATGAACCGCCGGCACCCAAAAGCTGGGGATAAAGGCTTAGCATATCCTTAAACGGTAACTTGATGCGTATCGTAAACAATTAACCAACCGTACCTTTAACGTAAACCTATAACACCCGTAATTAATCTTAACACAACTCGTAAACACATAACCGTAACTTACACGCGTAAACGCAAACGGTAACCTAACCGTTTAAAGACACAGCTTTAACCGCGTAGCACGATTAACGTAAAGCTTATCACTTAACACGTTTATTTAACGTTAATTTAACAGGTAACAATTAACCTTAATTAAGACACTTAACATAAACGCAAGCCCGTAACATAAAGTGTAACCATAACGATAACTTAAACGTAACTTACCGTAAACCTTAACAACCACTTAAACTAACCAGTTAACCACTATATAACACTAACTTAACGTACCCTTCGTCAGTAACTAACTTAAACTTAACTATATAAAGCTAACGACTTATAACATAGCATTACACTATAACGTTAAAGTGAGTGGGTTGTTGAAAAATAGACCAGCCAGCGGGCCGGCTGGGCGTAGCATACGTTTGAGCAGCCGGGCGAGAGCGATTGGTGCGCGCCGCCTCAAGGGCGGTGCTTGGTAACTAGGACGGCCTGACCGTGCGACGCCCAGCAGGCGGTTCATCGCCTAAATGCACTTCCCGTTTGCTCTGCGCGCCTCCCATGATTGCATCGGCGCAGTTAGCCCTCGACGGTGCGGCGCACGTCGCCGCCAGATAAACGCGGACGCTCTTTTCGGTGTCGCTCATTCGCATGCGCACCGCGAACAGCCACGTCACCACCCCCCTCCCACCCGCGCTGCAGTTCTTGCCGCCGCTCGGACCGCCTGGTCGTTTCGCCGCCCGGTGGTCTGTCGCGGAGGTGCAGCCGAGAAGGATGGAGCGCAAGGGTGTTCATGTCATGCAACAGAATGCTCGTGGTTGCTGGTAATGGGTTGGATGTGTTTGAGGCAGCGGAGGAAATACACGGGTTTATGGGGATGCATAAATAGTAAAACGATAAAGAGTAGGTCTATTTGTTTTTGTATGTTTTCATAAACAAAGGACGACTTTAGTTTCTGGTGATTATTCACAATATTAGATGAATAGAGCAGGAAACGGATGTTGTGTAGAAGAAGGAATTAATTGAATAAAACGGTACACAGGCGATAAGGAATGGAGAAATGATTTTAGAAAAGTTACACTGATATTAAAAAAAAGTCAATGGTAGAATGCGGGGCGCATTTGTGAATAATAGAATAATAGAGAATGGAAGAAAGAGAGAGAGAGAGAGAGAGAGAGAGAGAGAGAGAGAGAGAGAGAGAGAGAGAGAGAGAGAAGAAAATAATAGATAGAAAAAGAGTGACAACCAGAATGTAGCTGTGTGTGCCTACAAGAGGAAGGGAAAGAGGGGAATAATGGGTCAAACATGAGAAAAGATAGAAGAGAGAAAAACGAGGTAGTGCTGGAAAGCAACATAAAAAGTAATAAAAAAATAATATGGAAAAGGTTAAATATGAAATACAGCAAAAGATCAAAGCAACATTAGAGATAAACAAAACGCATTTCTCCCAATGAAGAGTCTTGCGCTGGCGGTAATCGCAGCTGGTCGTCAACGACCACAGACACTCGAGCCCTCCCTCACCTGGGGTAGCGCGAACAATCAAGGCAGCGCCCCTGGTGACGGAACGCCAAAGCCGGGCGGCGGGCGCGGCGGGGGCCGTGGCAGCGCAGAAGGGAGGAGACGAACAGAGGAGAGCGGCGACGGCTCGGCACGGGGCCTCTGACCTCGGGTAATAAACCCGCACGTTGTCACTCCCGGAATGCGGATGATGACAAAACGGCCCCCAGGGGGCGGGCAGGCGCCGCGCCCTAGCGCGCCGCTCAAATTCTGAACAGGTGGCGGCGCCTGACGAAGCAGCCGAGCCACGCCCGGCCCCCTCAAAGTCACTCCGGGCGTGCCCCGGCCCTCCGCATTAGCGTCCTCCAACCATTTTGGTGCCCCGTTTCTTTATTTGGGAATAAAAATAAGTTCTAAACAAAAAATGAACGTTGAGAGTTGTTTTTTTAAAGAAAAGTTAATATTATATTTAATTTATGAATAGCAAATATAACCGTACATTTTCATATAACATGAAAAATAAATGTTAAAATAGTCTGAAAATCAATCCTTGGGACACCTCTTACATTCAGAACCGCTTTGACAATGCAGCATCAGACACCCCCAGTACTTCGAGCGATATTGAACCTAAATCTTGCATTTGAATTGAGAAATACTACGTTCGGATTTCGCGAATACCAAGTTCATATTTTTCTCTATGAAAATATATATCTGAAAGTATATTTAAATAAATTAATTGTAAACAATACATAAATAAGCTGAGAGAAGAGATATATTTTACTAAAATTATCTATACTATATTTACTTCTACGAAAATCACATTAATATCTGCATTGAAATTTTAAAAAGAAAAATCTAAATTTAATTCAGTTGCTTGGGCGTTGCTAAAATTTTGAATTGATGGTGCACCACATTTCCCCAACCACCATTTTCGACCTATTCATGCCTATTGCTATTCTTCTATAGTATTCCTATAACTATACCATGGAGCTTTCTTCAAACTTATTATAATATAACACATATATACTGTATATGCTGGTAAATTAAATTTACCTTTTATTGATCTGTGGACCGGCAATCAATTTCTCCACAAATTATCTGCCATCTATTTAAAATTTGAAAGTTATTAACGGGAATAACTTGGTTAAGCGGGAACTCATTATAAAACTGCCATTTCATATTAGCATTTTTAAAGGTGTAATCACTTAAAAAGTGTAGTTTAATAATTACAAATAAAACTGAAAAACTTAACATGAATATTTGTATTTGTCGTACTAAATGAATTGCCCAGAAGCCAATATTACAAACAGTTTGTGGCTGATTTATATCTCGTAGTGAGAGGCGGTACGAATGCTGGCTATTGTTACCTTGCATGAAAACGTCCTCTTGAAGCAATTAATTTCACTGATGGCCGGTTTGACCCCACGACCTACAGGTTGCTTAATATTTTGGAATTCTTGTGTCTGAATACCACGAACGAGTGAATGAAAACAACGAAGTAAATCTTGGTGATTTAATACAGTTGCTAGTAGTCTCAGGGTACTGAGGAACGCATTGGTTTTATTTATCTTTGACATGAAGAAGTGTTTACGTGCCTCGAATTGTGTTTCACAGTTCGATGAGAGTTAAAATTTAGAGTTGCTATTTTATAACCACCAAAGAAAAATGTACTTCGCTGCAATGTATGGATCTCCCTTCACCCTTTTTATTTTTCTCTTTTAGAGTTCTGCGGAAATTGATGTCGCATTTTGAGTTATGGAATGCATCTCATTACTTTGAATCACCAAATCATAATGTAGGAAAAATTAGCATGATTCAAATATAAAACACACAACATTTGAAAGTAAAAATAAACTGAGAATCTAAATAAAACTGAAAATAATCATATAAAATGAACTGTGTTTAAGAATTGGATTTAGATATTTTTTAAGTTGCTTTTGTTTTTAATATTTTTGTACCTTCCATGTTCTTCTGGAAAATCTTGTCTTTCTATATAATTCCATTTTCCTCTTCTTTTCACATCATTACTGAACATTGTTCTTCATAATGAAGTTAAGCTTTAACATCTGTAGAAGCCTTGCACTAACCTTGGTAGTATATTGTTTCAATCATTCAGAAACAATTCAATTTCCATTTGTTTGTTAAAACTACTAACTTCTCTAAATATTCTCTTCATTGTCGGATATATTTCTCTACTCCGACTTCTAAAAGAAAGAAAACAAGACATCATCGCAAGACATTTCTTTTGTTACAGGAGCCGAGAAATTGCGGTCGGCGATGTTCTCTTGTTGCAGCGCATTGTCCTCAAGTCATTTAAATCAAGTCGGTAAAAAGGCATTAAAATCAACTTGTTCCTATGTTGTTTTAAACTTAGATCTCACCAAAAATCGAACGATTTCACTGTGAAGTGAATCTGAGACTAAACAATATCTTCTTAAAACTATCAAGAATCATAACGATTATTTGATTTCTTGTTAGGATGTAAAATATCGGAAAAATTGTGATGTTTATAAAGTGTAACATTCCTGTAATTTATTTATCGTATTTATAAATATACCAAATATATTAAATATACGTTCTATATTATTTTGTGTTTTTATTTTAATATTGTTTTTCCTTCCCAACCAAAATTATTCCTTTAACTCACAATTCCAAAAATATTTTCCTATTCTTAAAATATATTTTTATCAATCTGAACTTTCATGACACAAATTATAAATTACTTTAGTAAACGATCAGAATATTACATGTATTATAATAACACACAGTATATTTGAAAAGTAGTGCTAACTCAAATAATATCATTCAACACTCTGTGTCATAATCCTCTGAATTATGCCACTCTTTGGTTATAATTTATTTTTTATGTTATTTTTAAACATTTAATCAATTTCTAAAAACGAGAATAATTTTAATAATCAAATCCATTTGAAATCAATTTTCCAACCTTCATTTCTTTACATTTCGGAAAATGATTCAACGTATTCTATGGTGGCAAAAATGTTTTACAAAAGATTGCTAGTCCTAGAACTACACTTAATATTATTGGGCTGGAATTAAATTTTGGTCATAATTTCACGGGATAAAATGGCGCTTAGCAGCAAGACCATTTTCCATGTATTTATTAACTATTTATTTGGCCATAAGGCCTTTCAACGACTTCACTAATATCAAAAAAAATGTAGGCGTAGGCAACCATAATTAATCAATTACTTTATCCTCTTTTTTTAATATATATCAAAATGTATAAAAACGCTTTCCATTCATTATTAATATATTAATTAATTATTATATTAAATTATTATAATTGTTCATTATTTTATAAAAAAAAGAAAAAATAGATTGAAATTCTCTTTCGGAAAATTGAATTTGATATTATCAGAGAGAACAAATACAAGTATGTCGAACACTATAGGTTGATTGCAATCCGATTGCTGGTCATTTTTTCACGCTTCCATAACAGTGAAGTGAACTTCAGCTTGCAGCAACCTCACTGAAGAGTGAGCAAAGCACCGAACAATCTTTCGTTCCAACCCAATGTTTTAAAATGTATATTAAGTTACACTAAGCCCAGATCTCGTATAACATGAACCCGATGTCGACAACACTAACTACCATTATGTCTTCGATGGCACAGTTTCCATCACTTACATATTTGCGAAGTTATCTTCCGCATTCAAAGATTCCGTATCCAGAAATACCCCCCCCCCAATTCATTGAAATAACGACAGTTATTAGGCAGATATCCAGAAACAAGCAACACTCTGTTCCTTTGTTGCTTGGGACACATCACCAGACCTCCTTCACAAAAGGGATCAAAGGAAACACTGCGAAGTCGTAAAAGTGATTAAAGTGTGTCTTTATCCCGCCGCCACATTAGCCTCGTTGGCGTTGCCCTTCGGAATCAAATCCGCCGGCGTCGGGGCGGAGGCGGCCACGCGCTGCCTGCGGAAACCGGGAGCACGAACGTGTATCTGGAATTAATTAAACGAGACTTTCCCAAGTTAACTGCGGGCTAATGAAGCGAAGCCACCAGCCACGCGACTGCACGCAAACGCCGACGGGAGAGGAGGACAGGGACGGACGGGAAAAAGCAGACAATGGTTGAGAGAGGAGAGGTGCGTTGGGGGAGAGAGCCACGGGAAAACACGAGGCTGAGAAAATAGGTTAGTGACGAAATGGTGGGTGAGAATAGGTGTGAGAACAGAGGGAGACAGAAGTGATCGGGAGCGGGGAGATGCAGAGAGAACACAGGCAGGATGAGGTATCAGAGAGAGGAGAAAAGCGATGACGAGGGAATGAATGGATATTGGGGTGGAACTGAAGAAGCAGAGAGTGGGGAGAGGCAGAAAGTGGTTAGGTTAGTGAGGGAAGTCAAAATGAAGAGTGTCAGGGAGAGGAGGTGAGGATAGAAGTGGCGGGAAGTGAATGATTCTGGAGAAAACTCTGGGACCGAAAATGTGGAGAATGATAGGAATGAAAAATGGATAACTGAATCAGAGAAAGCAGAGGCAAAAGGTGGGAAGAGAAGGAAGAGGAGAGGGTTAACAACTGATGAAAGAATGGCTAGGGTGAATATACCAGTCGAAGAGAGATAAAGTGATCGGATGTGATAAGGGATAGGGAGAAATAAAAATATAAAGGGAATATAACTGATATATTGTTTTGTTATTTTCTTAAATTTTATATCAGTTAGGATATATAGGAATAATATGATGGTATTTAAAATAAATTTCTAATTAGTAATGTATTCTAATAAGTAATGTATTTTTCAATAATCGAGAAATTTTTTTGAAGCAAATAGGCAAAACAAGTAACGAAAATTATCACAAATGCTAACTATGACAGGAACTTATAATGTTGGGAATGTTGTACGAAGGAAATCTAAGATTGGTCAGTGGAATTAATTTTGAAATAAATTTTCAAGAGATGAGGAAAAGAGTAAAAAGCATGAAAAGGCGAAAGTTGAAGGAAGAGTAGGCACGAGGTGCTGTCAAGTTATGAAAGTATCGAAAAACGGAAAGGACGAATGTGAGAACGGTAAAGAGTACATGGAGCGAGAAGGAAGGAAGGAATAAGGGGAAGAGGGTTTTCTGCGGCCGAGTTACAAGCACAGCCGAAACCGGAAGCCACTAACAAGCAGCCGTTCGTGTGCTTCTGCGTTGAGCGTTCCTAAGTGGATTCATTCAACGGCGACGACTGGCTGCTTTTACTTTTCACGGCCTCACGCAGGATTCAGTCACTTACGCAATCAACGCGACTCATAGGCTGCTCATTCTTTCCATGACTCTTTCAATACATCTCACTGGATTTATATGGGATTCACAAGTTATCACGATTCCTTCGTACGTGACAACAAACGGTGCAAACTTTAAACGTTTCTTGAAAGGATGCAGAGAAGATTTCAACTCTCTCAGAACTAGCTGATGGGAAAATCATATTCTACCGTCTGCAAGTAGGAGAAAAACTGCCTTCTGAGCATGTGTTAAAAGCAGAGCTTAAACAATAAATAATATTCTAATCGAGAGATTGATTATATTAATTTGCATTAAAAACATTAAACATACTTTTTTTACTACTGCCTTTGAAAACTGTTCCAAATTGTGAATTATAATTGTTTAAAAGTACATAAAGTGAGACAATATTTGCGTTAAAGAAAAAGAAAACCAATAGAACTGGAATTAAACGGTGACCGTATAGGAAACACATGAAATTAGGTATAATCATATTAATAAAACAAACTGATTGTGTTATTTTTACTTTATTTGGACCCTAACTTCTTACATAATCAAAAGTGATTGTGTGAAAGAATGAGTGTGATTTGGAATGTTTTGTTATGGACATGTGAACAAAGGAAAAAATAGTGACAGCAAATACAGTTATGACAAGTATCTACTAGTGTTCAATAAAAGGAAATTTTAGGGTACAGAGGTAGAGTAAAATATATTTAAATTCAGATTAAAACTCAAGAATTTTACTTCTAAGAAAAACTATTTTTAAATTTTAAGTGTATTATGTCACAACGTTCCATTCGGAAGAAAATTGATGATCCATTTCAAACGGATGGGGAACATTGAACGCTTCATTTAGTGTAGGTGAGTATTAATTTCGGGTAAGTCTTTATTTAAATCAATTTGAAACCAGACAAAAGTTGTATTGGTTAAACTAGAAAAACAATATTTGGAAAAAGACAATGAGAATGAAATAATGCCGTAAGGTTCGGAAGAATTAAAGCATAATTTAATTTTCATTATAGAAACACGTATTTATTAAAATGATTTTAGAAAAGAGAATGTTATAATACACAATAATTCAAGAATTAAAGGATTAAAATGCTAAATTGAACTTTTGATACCTTATTAAAAACATTATCATTGTTAATTTATTACTGAATCAAGAATTATTATATTCTTATTTTTTTGCATTCTACATCAAACATATTACATACAATGTTACAGAAAAATAATAGATCGTGTAACACAAGAGAGAATCTACTAAATCACAATAACTGTCATTTTACTTCTCTAAAATCAAGCTTTACCTTGTGTTGTGTTTCAGCACTAAGCTTCTTTTCTACTCAAAGCTATTCTGAAAAATCGTAAAAGGTCTATACTTCTAGTTTAATTAGTTCGCGAAAATTAGTTACACACAACTCAGGAAAATGAATTTAAAGTTATCTCAGAGAGCAGGAAACAAACCTATTCAACAAACGTATGAATTATTAATCGGGCTCGTCACTAACTACTCGAGTATAAAAACTTTACGTACAATAAAAAATAAGAAAACAAAAATAATAATCGACAAAGAAGTTCAATTTTACTAAAATTGTTTTTACAATAACCATCTTAATACTTTCAAACTATGTGCATCATATGAAAACCATACAAATTAACTTAATAAGAAATATTGGCTTCGGTAACTTTTATTCAGGATTTCCTGAATCAACCCATTCTGTGAAAATGCAAATTTTTGCTATATTTGTTTCAAATACAGCTTACATTATTATATTCAACGCTTGTGACCTCAATACTGCTGAAAAAATACTGCTTATCTGCGCCCGCAACCGCAAAAACGATACCAAATAACGCCCCCAAGATACAGCCGTGCCCTATAAAGCGGTCTCTATTAGGCCAAAGAGTCCTCGTGATTCCGATTTATTGGGCGATGGGGGCGCCGCGCCGCGGCGGGTCGGGAAATCGCGCGCCGCGCCGCAAAGGCGAACAGTGGGCGAGCGGCGGGCGGAGCAGAGCGAGATATCGACGCGCGGGGAGCGTGGGTGGGCAGGTTGAAAAGGAAAAGGTGTGGAGGAGGAACAGAGTAATTGGGGAGGATGGAGGAAGAGGAAATAGTGTATGTGGGTATAAGTTTATAAGAAATAGTTTATTTATTTAATTAATATTTATTTATTTATTTATTTATTTATTTATTTATTTATTTATTTATTTATTTATTTATTTATTTACTTGTCTAAAACATTTAAAAATTGTGTGTGACGCGTTACGGGGAGAAGTGAATTTCGT